CTGATTGTCATGCTAAAACACTTGAGCGCTTCACTTTAGCTCCAAGCGTGTTTTCATTTCATCTGATCTTCAGAATTCACATGATCTTCTGACCTCTGACCCACACGTCATTGCTTACATAATATGTGTTAAAACTAGATTAAATGAAAATCAGAGAAATGGAAGAAACTCACAAGACGACCCTCAGACAAAAGAATCACATTCTGTTAATAATGCAGTTTGACATTTTGGGTAGTACGGGGTGATTTGGTTTAATCTGCAGATAAATGTCAGCAAATACAAACCTACATAATGTTAGCGTAGCATACAGTAAGTGTTGGAGACACAAGGAAAGAGCTGACCTGACTGTGTCCAAACACAGGGGAGGACATCTTTAAGAAATCAGACTCACTCTAATTTTTTAAAAACTGAACCTGTGAATCAACTCAGAATCACTGAACACAGGAACTGCAGTTACGGCACAAACAGTTAATAAATTAAAGCTGCTGCTGCACTTTTCCCTCATGCACAATTTTAAACTAACTAACTAACATCTTGGACCTTACAGAAGGAGGAAGGAGGACTTTTTACATTTATTAGATGAAACACGGAATAATCTCCACCAAGGTTGAAGTTGTTGTCCACTCCATCCATGTATCAAGCCCCTAGATCCAAATACAGGTTTTCTTATTTAAATTTAATCTGTATTTGTGACAATATTTTTCCCTATCGCACAAATATAACAAATTTTTTTTTTCAAACTCCTCAATCAACACGAGCAAACTCCATAAAATAGTTAAACCGCATGTAGTTGTTAGCTGCAGGGGTTGCAATAACACTGCAGACAACACACACACACTTTCTGAGGGATCTGAAAGCGTTTCCTCGCTCATGGTCACAGACAAAGAGGGGAGGGAGGGATCGGCCACGGTTCAGGAACTTGACTTTTACAGAGAAAAGAACAAAAGAAGACGAGGAGGCGCAGGGTGGTGGTGGAAAAGGTGGAGGAGGAGGACAGAGGAGATGATGTGGGCGAGGGTAAGGAGGGCTTGCAGATTTTCATATCAAATATGACAGAAAATAAACTATTTTATGATCAAATTGATCTTAGTGAAAGATTTTAGGTTTACCCTCAGAGGAACGAGTCACACCTGTGGAGGATTTTAAGTGTCAAATACAAAACGATCTCCATAAAATGCCTGCATGAAAGCTCTCTTCTAGTCTGTAACACTTCAAATTTGATATTATAATGTGATTTTATTTGGATTAACTAATAAATACCTTGAAATTCAAGTTAGGTAGAGCAAACATAATCAGAACTAGATTAGATTATTTTTTGTTATATATTCTAGAGGCTGATGTTAAACATGGCCAGAGAGTCCAGTAATGAGGTCTGCAAATTTAAATGGTCTTAACACTTTGGACTGTTTTTTGCCATCTCAGTCTCACAGCTCAGCTCATTAAGTTCAAAGCTCATGTTTACAAGGGGAAGCCAATCAGAAAGCAGCTGACTTTGAGGGGTGAAGAGATGAAGCAGCTTCTTTTATACATGGACCTGCTACGACCCAATGTAAGATAAACAAGGATTATAATTGAACAGCAACACATGGAGTCTACCTCAACCCCCCCCCCTTTCAGACAACATCTGATGACCTCTCTTGTACCCATAGTGACAAGTTTTGACACCTAAGTATGTATCAATAAAAGTGGTTTCATGACCATTAGAATAGTTTACAGATCATCTTCTTGCAAACTTCTGATGAACACCCAATTATTTTGTTCTGTAAGCAGGCCTGAAATATGACGGACACCAGCAGAGCTTCGATGCTTCCTTACTCCTAGTATGCTTTTAATGGGTAACGATTTAAGAGAGTACACCTGATGCAGACAATGCAATGTGCAAACCAGAGGAAATGTACCATGTGTGCTACAATTTTTGCTACATTTAGTCAGCCACTTTGTGCAGATTTACGATGTTTAAGAGAAACTCACTGTCGGCTCTGAAGGTAACGGCCAGCCTGCGGCCTCCATCTGCACCTGAAGGTACCTGAGGGAGAAAACAGAGATATATGAGACATATGAAAGTAACCACTCCTGATGACAGGCGTGAAAAAGCTTAAACTTTTAGCAGAAGATTATGCAAACCAGTCACCTAGCATGGCTGTTTCACTTCTTTTTAACAAAATGACAATAACGGTGAACAGACATTAAGTCTACTTGCTTTCTAGCCATGCAGACGTAAAAGCCATGACTTGGTCTTAAGATGGTGTTAGCAGTGGAAATTTTAGCAATAATTACATTTTTGTAAGATAAAAGCTGGCGCCTGAGAAAGGTCACCAAATCTCCATTTAATAGACGGGACTGGGCTATCCTTGCAACCTCACCCATGAGGTCTATTTAATACAAAGAACAGCAGATACAGTAACACATGATGAGCAGCAAGATAAGACGAGACATCAGCTCCCTTGTGAGCTACAATTACCCAGAAGCCCATTCTCCATGTTCCCACACAAAGATGAGGACTTTCTTTACGCATGTTTCAGCCTCGACTGTTTCAGCAGTTTTACGGCTTTGACCCTTTTTTATGTTCACACACACACACACACACACACACACACACACACACACACACACCCCCTCAGGCTTATTACAGAGGTGTCAGACTGGTCTCACACACCTGAAACCAATCAAAGAGACACCCAGCTGAGTGTGTGCGAGTGTTACTGACGGTGTGCTGTTTATTAGCAGCCACTGTACCTCACAAATACAACCCATCCATACAAAAAGACACACACACTTTTAATGACATACTTGTGAAGTCCCTCATTGTCCAGATCGCAAAACACCTAAAGGCAACACAACAATGATAAAAATAAATAAATAAAATAGTCCGCACAGACACACACAACGTTTCATCTAATCATGTTTGCATTAATCATACGCTGTGCTTTAAGTTGGCCTCTGCTGTATGAACTTTGACCTTTAGAAGTTTATATGCTGCGGTGTGTGCACGTGTCCCGCTGGCAGCATGAACTAAAAGGCTAATTAAAAATCAAGGGGGACGTTTTTTCCACCAACAGCACAGGGGGAGGAAAAAAAAAAAAAAAAAAAAAAGGACTTCCTGGTTTCTTGCACTGACCCACAAAAACCTGGTTTTGCATGGAACTACATTTTTGCTAAAAACGTACGAGGTAAAACATAATAACAAGTAAATAACTTTACATCACAGGTCAAGTACTCATTGCGAACACACATTTAAATTCCTCAAATTAGATCGTTCACTCTGGTATGAATCAGTTAGAAGTTACAAGTTTGTCAAGTTTTAACAGCAGTGTCACCACAGCCTCTGTGACTGACAGGTTGAGTTTTCCGTGTCACACCGTAGCAGTAAGCACTGTTTACGGTGTTTGTTTACAATGCACGGTGTTTGTTGCTGAATTCACTTGTCAACAGTTATTATTTTGCTGTGCTGCAGTGGACAAACTGACAAGCATCAGTGGTTTTATTATGATTAAATAAAATAACTCATGAGAATCACACGTTGTCTAAGAAAAGGGAAAAATAGTTTTTTTAATCAAATAAACAAACTTAATATTCTAAAATGCAAAAAAATAAATGTGCCGTGACGCCGCTGCTGGCACTTCTTAAAGTCACCAATGTTTACTTAACTTGACTATTCAAGATATCAGACTTCAGTCATTCTAATTTTTTATATTTTTTTCTAAGTAATAGTCTATTTAATAGTGATGTCTTAATACATAAATTATAATTAAGACGGTACTTTTGATCCGCTCCTACCCTGTTATGGGTTTTGCATTACAACATTTCCTGTATCTCTTCAAACACTCCAGCATCTTACAGGACAGAAACACTTGACTTGGCTCTGATCTTCACTGTCTGACAGTCCATTATGAATTTATTTGTTTCCAATCCAAAGCAAATGTTATTTTGGTAAGCAAATTTAAGGTTGATCATTTAACATGGTATAAACATTGTGTCTTCATTAATTAACAAATAAGTAAAAGCCATCCAATTGGGGGTCAGGCCCAGACTGACTATATTGGCCATCGTGCAAGGGCAGAAAATCTGCAGTGGCACTAAGAGAAAAGTGAGGCCCATGCGACAAGCTTAGCTACAGGAAGAGCAACGAAGGGCCAAAGCAGGCATCCAACCTACACCTCGACTGCGTACCATTCAAAGCTGAACAGCTAGCAGACCTCTGTCGATCTGAAGGGAAAAAGCATCGACTGGTTCACCTACAGAAAAAAATGTTGTGACATTTACTGAGATCCTGTCAACTAAAGGCTCCTTTTTTTTTAGTCTTTTTGGGTCAAGGTGAACAAAACAGCAAGAGACAAAAGGCACACCGGAAAGGAAAGGGGTGCACCTAATTTATAAAACAAGAATTGGAAATTCACTGGTATTTGTGTAGCACTTTTCTAGTCTTACTGAAGACTCAACTTACTTGAGACTACAAGGTAGATTTAACCATACATTCATTAAGTGCTTTACCCACCCAGCCCTGATTCTAAGGGGCTAAATCTCAGCGTTTAGTAAAAGGTGTCTTGTTCATTTCACACTCCAACTAATGGCAACTCTAAGCTACCCTAAAGTTACCCAGCTGTGTAAAAACACCTGGAGTTTTTACTAACTTGCATATTTAGATAATTCAGAATTAACGAACTATTTCTACCCCTCTTCACCACCAGTTAAACCGCCCACCGCTGTGAGTCAAACTTTAATACTTTACAGCAGACACACACACACAAAAAGCTTTCTTTTTTCCTGTTGCCAGGTGTTTCTCACTAGTAATAATCATTATGCTTCTCCCCTGCAAATATCCACACACACAAAAATACGCACACCCCCTGAGGCCCGAGCAGACATGAATCCACATCAGTAAACAACTGAAAATACAAGTAGTTCATTATCACTCACAATAAATGACCGGATGAGCAGCTGTTTGACATCCTGTCCGCAGACGCATAAACAAACCAGTCCAAAAAAAAAATTCACTTTTTCAGACAAGAAGAACAAAACTCTTTAAACAACAAAAACTTTTGAAGAAACATTGAATTTCCCTTGGGAATCCCCAAACATCACTCACTCACACACACACACACACTCACACAAAATCAGTTCCTGTGGTAATCAGACAGCTAATTGCAGGCTCAGTTAGTTGAAACAGTAATTAATCAGCGCACACAAGGGAGGAAAGGATCTAAGGACTCAGGAGAGGAATGGGGGAGTAAAGGATGATGGGAGAAGTAATGACCGAGCCTGCAGGGAAGGAAAAAGGGAAGGAAGGAAGGAGGAAAGAAGAGAAGGAGGGATCTGATTAAACAGGAACTTCTTCAATTACAGCTTTTAAGGTTCACTTAGCAGACTTCTCCTCTGCTTCGTTTTGTTTGGGCCAGCCAGACCAGTTCCAGATGTGGGGACAAACTCCCAGCTGACCTCTAATCAACATACTCCTCCTGGGCTGAAGCATAAACAAAAGTTCTGTTCAGGGGAGGAAGATTAGAGGAAGATTAGAGCTGCACGATGAGCTGAAGTGCCTGCAGAGCAGAGCGTCTGTCAGGCACCATCACTTATGATGCTGCTCACTTGTTTCTCAGATATTTTCAGATTTAAATCACAGATTTCAAAACGCAGTTCCATTTAAGCTCATGTGCAGCTACTTGGGTTTAGACAACATTTTTTCCACTTCTTCCAGAATTCATAAATGTCCATCAAGCTGCAGTTCAGGCAGCTCAGGTCCTAATGTTCAGACTTCTCTCCAGTTTTGTCCATATGCTTTACTAGGGTGTAACATGCTCAACAAAAGGGGGGCTAAAACCTGGTTAGCAATCAGTCTTCATAGAGTCATTTATGTTATCTTATCTTTATCTGCTTGCTAACTCTGCCGTCATTGGGTATTTCCGTATTAAAATGGTCCTTGAATTCCCAAAAGCAAACAAACACTGGCCAAAAGCAATCACCACAGAGTTAAAAACAGTCCAAACTCTTTCAGTGTTGCTGTTCTTCCAGGTGCTACAATAAAGTTTAACATCCTTCCATCAATGAAAAAAGAAGACGTAAAGCTTTCAGCTGAATTGCAGGCAGGAAGTCTCCATAAAAAGCTGACTTACCATGTACTAAGTGAAGTATTTCTAAAAATCATACAGCACAACTGTAACTTTGAACTTCACATGTAATGATGGGCTAACTAATGGTTAGGCTAATATACACATTAGATATGCTACACATGGACAGTGCTAATAAAAAGCTGAGGAGGCCGAGATTGATCACCGAATAGTTTTTCCAGGCTCGTGGTAATTAAAAATAAATAAATACAAATAAAACATGAGACTAAGCTCTTCAGCACATTGTTAAAGCTGTATTTATCTTCAACACTTGGTTTCACTTCACTGAAAATAAAATAAAATAAAGTTCTTTGTCTATTATAACTTCTAAGTCAATGCTAAGGGAGCAGCAAAACCACAAACATAAACAGCAGTAGCTTACAGGAAATGTGAAAAGCCTCTACATGTCTTTGACACTGCCCTCAGGTAACTACAACATGCAGATGTGGATCTCCAAAGCTCTGAGCAGCACCCGGAGACTACCAGCCCACTGCCAGGCCTGGATGTTAATATGCCACAGTAATCACAGCTGCTTGTGTGATGGTCCAGTAGGCTGTACCTTAAACCAGCCATCCTACATTCATGCCCAACTGAAAGAACCTGAGGGATGAAGATGGAGCTGGTTCCCCTGTTTTATTTCTTTCAAAACTGCTAGGCACAATCAATCAACATTCAGAGAGCTCCAGCTGTTATTTCAGTTCATTCAGTCTAATCAATAAATATTTGTTTAGATTGATCCCAAGGAATGATTGGGACTGCTATGATAAAAATGAAGTGTGCTTACATGTGGTCGGGGACATCTGATTGCTTTTCTTTAAGTGAAAAGTTGAGTTCGATTACTCCTATCATGTTAATCATGTCAATATTATTAAGTTATAATTGATATATTTTTACTCATCTCCCCTCCTGAGTCCGTCTCTGA